CTCTCTAAAAACTGCAGCTATGCCTCCCCCCCTTTTGTTTTCTCGTATTTCGGATTCGAATTTAAAATTGGGTGGTGTTGCTTCTATTAGAACTGCATTTCCTGTATTTTGGTCCAGCCATGTTTCAGCCATAAGCATAAAATCAAGATCATAAGAAGTGATAAAATTATTAATTAAAAATGATTTGTTACATAGAGATCTGACATTAAGCATAGCAAGTTTAAAAATAACGTCAGAGTCGATTAATGTGGTTGATTGATTTCTACAGGGAACAGAAATTAGATTTGCAGAGTTGGACCGTCTAACTGCTGTCCTGTTTTGATTTCGTTTTTTAGAATTTAAAAACATTTTTGAGCTGGTGCGAGGAACACACACAGTCTCAATTGGCCTAAAATGTGAAAACCCTTGTTGTTCTTTAGCTCCCAGAGTCAGAAGGGAGTCAGCACAGTTCAGTGTTTGGACTGGTAATGCACTGCCAGACGGACAGGGAGCAGTGTTTGCACCGTTGTACTCACCCGGTGCTGGTGAGCAGGAGGCGGGAGAGTGCGGTGGGGTCCGAGGGGGCTCAGATGTAAACAGTCACGCCCCCCTCGGGGAACGCTGAACAACATAACGTATGTAATCCATCAACAGGCTGCTACCGTATCTGTTTGGGTGTAATCCGTCTGGACGATAGGCTTCGTAACGTTTCCAGAAAAGGGCAAAGTTATTCACAAAGACAAAGTTAAAAGAGCTGCATGTAGCCTGGAGCCACATATGCAGCGCCACAACACGACTGTAGAGGCAGTCACCTCTGTTTACAGTCTGGATTGGACCAGAAATAAAAACAGATAGTCCGGAGGATTGAAGGAGGTGGAACAGATCCATAAAATGTTTCTTCGTGACTTCTGACTGCTGAAGTTTCATGTCGTTAATTCCCACATGCACGACTACCTTGAAAACGGTATCAGGTAGGGACTGAAGCAGAGGAGGGAGACGTATGAGCAGGTCTGGTACAGTAGCTCCGGGAATACAGCGAGTGACCGCGTTAAAGAAGCGGACGTGTCTCACGATGGAATCTCCAATAATCAGAGTGGTCGGGGCGAAGAGTGGCCTCGGAGAAGGAGCTCGGTGGACGGAACCAGCGGGTTCACCCGAAGCAGGACCCGAGCCTGAGCGCCGCTGAACACATGGAGAGGAGGAGCGGGGGTGCTGACTCTCAGCTACAGGCGACCCACGCTGTGTGCTCGGGGACGCTGGAGCGGTGAGAGGGGCTGGCTCTGGGCGCTGCTGCTGACCCGGTGGAGGTGAGCGATGGTAATGATGGCTCGCTACCCCAGTCTGAGGCTGCTGCACTGGGGTCAAAGAAGGGGAACAGGCCAACATGGCTGGTGGACCGCTCTTTCGCCTGAGGACTGCTTCCTTTAGGAGCGTTTTCCTCGCAGTGGACTTGGATCCTCGAGCAGCAGAGTACGCTGCAGTGTCCAGGGATTCTGCTGAGGGGGCCGGGATGTCGGTGGAGAGGGCTGCATAGCGGTTTGCCAGACTCAGGACATGGGCCACGGCGCAGGATGGCTCCTCGGAATCCGCGGGCTCGTTGTTCGGAACCGGGCGATTAGGTGTAGAACAGGAGGGTCCGGAGCTGACGGATCTCTCCCACACGACAGTGTCACAATATGCAGCGCTCAGTGACATCAGCCGTGAGTGCTGCCCACCAGCGACTTCAAAAAGTTTGGACACTAGAGATTGTTTCTCATTCAACTCTGCGGTGAGACGAAGGACTTCTTTTCGTAGTTCTGCAATGGTGGCACGGTCGTTCTCACGGAGCTCCAAGGTGAGGCGACTAATATTGTGCATGTTTGAGCCAATTTCATTGTCACTTTCCATGTCCTCGTTAGCTTGTGTTAGCCTCTGTGCTACTAGTGGGTTTCAGTCGGGACTAAGTGCTATTTGCTGAAACCACTGAATTAAAAAGATAAAACACAATTTAATTAATGCGATGAAATTAAATTAGTTCATGGAGAGAGTGCAGCGGCTAAAAAAGTATTGTATGTGATGGCTTCAGTCCTGGGTCTACAGCCTCAGTCCTGGATCTACAGCCTCTGTCCTGGGTCTACAGCCTCAGTCCTGGGTCTACAGCCTCAATCCTGGATCTACAGCCTCAGTCCTGGATCTACAGCCTCAGTCCTGGGTCTACAGCCTCAGTCCTGGATCTACAGCCTCAGTCCTGGGTCTACAGCCTCAGTCCTGGATCTACAGCCTCAATCCTGGATCTACAGCCTCAGTCCTGGGTCTACAGCCTCAAATTGCAGCGGGGCTAGACTCATTTTCTTGTGGTTCCCATTGAATCTAAATTAGAAACAACATTTGGGTGTGAGCTTCTTCAGTTAAAATGTCCCCAAAATGTGTGTTCTTGACAAACTAGAATGTCTAAAATTAGAGGAAACCTGAGGATACACGACAGATGTCCTCCATGTGTTTGTGTAGAAATTATTGAATCAAACACAGATTAAATCATATACTAAATTAAAATGATTGAGAGAAGGTCCGAGGGCCACACTGAAACATGAATTGGGCCTTGTGTGGCACTCAGGCCGCACTTTGCCCAGGTCTGGTCTCAGCTCAGTGGGGATGATCCATGACCTTTAAAGACCTTATGCCGGGTTTAAAAAAAAAAATTGTGGATATCAAAATTGCATGACAATGTCGATCTGAAATAGATTCCGGCAACAAAAAATCCTATATTTTAAAAAAAGAACGTGTTTTTCATGAATTTAAGTTGTCTATGCTCTAACCTGTGTGTGACGTCACAGCGGGTAACGCCCATGCATTGAAAACCATGAATCTATGCCACAGGACTGCCTTTTCTCTCTTCTCTCCACTGATGCCCAACACAATACTGCCCTCTACAGGTGACAATTGCTCACTACACATAAATTGCCGTTTTGAGAGTGAAAATGTGTCTGAGGTTGGATTTGAACCCAAGTTTCTGGATTGACAGTCCATCGACACAACCACTGGACTATCTCAGTGACACAAAATGTTACAGTCTAGAAGTAATCTGATACTTTCTGTACACGGCCTTGTCATCTTGAATATCCGCGAAAAAAGAACAAATACCAAATTGTAAACAACTTACAGCGTTGAAACGTACCCGTTCTGACGTCACCAAGGGCTGTGAAGTTTTTTCGTCTCTAAGGGCGTTGCTATGGGGTTATTTCGATTTGGGGGGATCAGACAAAAAAAACAACAACTGATTTTGAAACCTTTAGTAGTTCTCTTCTAATATAAAATGGTATTAAAACTGTATTTCTAAATAAATCAAACCCGGCATAAGGTCTTTAAGGACTGATCATGCGCCCCCTATGGACCAATGACGGTTTGATTCTCTGATCTGTCTTGGCGAAACAACAACCGCATAAACTCCTCTCGGCCTTTGCAAACATACAGTGTACTGATCCAAATGGAGACATGCAAAAAATGAACAAAAACAGGTAATAAATGCAAGAATGGGGTTGTTTTTGAGCACATTCTGACCAGATTTACCGAAAGGACAAATCCTATTCGTCGTATTTAACCCTTTAGGCGCCAAAGGTTTTTATCCTAAGAAGCTCAATTTTAATCTTAATTTATTAATAATTTAAAAGTGAAAAAAGATAGAGGCTTTATGTAAATTAGAGATATTATAAGGATGGCCCAAAGTCTATGTAGGAGTTAAATGTACACATCTAATTTGCATATTGTGACTTCATACGGTGGTGGCAGTCATGGATTTTCATGAAATATGTGTTAATATGTTTTACTGACAGACACAGATCACTTGGACATAACCACACAAACAGAACTCACACTGTGCCATGTTCACGGGTCAGGGAAATACAGTGAAACAGTGTAAATCAGTGTGTGCCAGGAGTTTGAACTATTTTGACACAATCCATCGCATATGGTCAATCGTGGCGCCTAGAGGGTTAGAAGAACTCTAAAGCCTAGTGTACATCGACAGAATAACTGGAGACGACTAGTTTCAAGGCGGCTTTTGGCGACTGAGAGTAGATGATGGAGATGATCAGTTGAAGTCGGTCGACGTGAGCGCTCTTACAACTGGAGATAAACAGTCGATCTCCGGATTCAGTCAGTTGCCCGTGTTCTACTTTTCAGAAACTAGTTGTCCTCAGATCCGGAGATATCACCCGATGTGCTCCAACAACGTGTGTGTATTGCGCCCTCTACAGTTTATGTCAGAAAACACACTGTAGTTGAGGCCAGTTGCTGTCGATGTACGCGCTGTTATTCCCGAGACTGGTCTGATACAGGAGATGCCCGTTTTCGCCACATGGTCGATATGTGCGGGGCAGCAACTCATAGGCCACGGATATAATCAGTTGCCAGTCCCATGTACACTACTGCCAACTACAGTGTGTTTTCAGACATAAACTGTAGAGGGCGCAATACACACACGTTGTTGGAGCACATCGGGTGATATCTCCGGATCTGAGGACGACTAGTTGCCGAAAAGTAGAACACGGGCAACTGACTGAATCCGGAGATTGACTGTTTATCTCCAGTTGTAAGAGCGCTCACATCGACCGATTTCAACTGATCATCTCCATCGTCTACTCTCAGTCGCCAAAAGCCGCCTTGAAACTAGTTGTCTCCAGTTACTCTGTTGATGTACGGTAGGCTTAAGGCAATCAAAATGTGCTGAAATTATGATACATGTCCTATACACATCAAACTCTTTTACAATCCCAACAGGCTCTCTGCTGTCTCTCTGGTCCTACAGGCCAGTTTAATGAAACCCAAGAACCCTAAGGCAATCAAAATGTTCTGAAATTGAGATACATTTTTGTCCAAATTGGCTCCACTTTTCGCCGTGTGCTCATAGATGTGAAAGTCCAGTCGATGAAACTCAGGCACTTATGAATCAACCCTTCTGTGTTTTTGTCAGTTTGGTCAGATTTTCTATTGTGAACGGAGCAAAGACTGCAATTTTTACTCGGCTCTGGCTCCGACGACTCAACATGCGGTCCACGTACGGCCCTTCTCTTTTCATTAGCACTCATTCACACCGCTGGCTCCGGGATCGATACTCTCTCACCTGTGAATCAGAAACGCAGGATTAGAGCCAGATCCAAGGGCAGTAATGAGGAGGACTTGCACTTTATCCTCCCCTACACATAGTTCTGTCATATCTCTATTGATCTCAAGGCGACTCCGGCGTCTCGGGGCTGTCACACGTTTCTTTATGAACTTGTACAGAAATCTCTCGGTTTTTCCTCCCAGGAGAAGCCTCAAAAACCTTCAGTGAGGTCCGGATCTGCAGTAGGCCCCGACTCCTGCCATAGAGAAATGTCCTATACACAACAAACTCCCGTTGTATACAACAAGAACACAGTATATAAATGGAAAGGCAAGACTATTGCAATCCCAACAGGCTCTCTGGTCTCTCTTGTCTTTCTCTCTGCTCTCTCTCTGCTCTCTCTCTGGTCTCTTTCTCTGGTCTCTTTTTCTCTGATCTCTCTATGGTTTCTTTTTTGTCTCTCTTTCTGGTTCCTCGCTCTGTTCTCTTTCTCTCTGGTCTCTCTCTCTGGTCTCACTCTGGTCTCTATCTAGTCTTTCTCTTTGGTCTCTCTCTTTTATCTCACTGGTCTCTCTCTGCTCTTTCTCTGGTTTCTGTCTGGTCTCTCTCTCTAGTCTCTATCTAGTCTTTCTCTCTGGTCTCTCTCTGGTCTCTCACTGGTTTATCTCTGTTCTCTCTCTAGTCTTTCTGCTCTCTGGTTGTTCTTTGATCTCTCTCCCATGTCTCTCTCTCTCTGTTCTCTCTCTCTGGTCTCCCTCGAGTCTGTCTCTCTTGGCTCTCTCTGGTTTCTCTCTGGTCTCTGCCTGTGCTCTCTCTCTCTGATTTCTTTCTTCTCTCCCTGTTCTCGAGTCTCTCTCTATGGTCCATCTCTGGTCTTCCTGTTTTACAGCATATGCACGGCTTTTGACAGCTGCAGCAGCGCTCAGACCTACATCTACTCATTTTAATCTCTCTACAACGGCACTTTGGATCCATGACTCTATACAGTGTTTTTTATCATTCCCTGTATTTGAACTGTTTTATTCTCTGATCTGTGTTGTAGAATCAACATCTATTAAATAAAAATTAAATAAAAATCTTAAAATCTCTGTGACCAAACCCTATTAATCACAAAGTTTAGTTCTGTTTCCCAAGTGTAGAACGACGTCATCCGTGTCGTTGTTGTTGTCGCCTCTCCGGGCAGCACTCGTGTCTGTTAGCAGCAGAGCTAATCCTAAATGAGAGCTTTTACCAACCCAGCCCTGAGCCAAAACAGTCGAGCAGCACCGGAACCATATTAGTTAATCCATCTTTATTATTTCTCTCACTAGTTTACGCCGTTTGACCTGAGCTGAGCCAGAGTCAGTTCATAAAAAACGCCTCTAAAGCAAAAGAGAATTTTTATGACTATGGCCTCAAGAGGAGCAGCTACATTCATTGTTATTTCTCTGATCTTTCTCTTTGTTCTCTCTTTCTGGTCCCTCTCTTGTCTTTCTCTCTGGTCTCTCGCTTGTCTTTCTCTCTGGTCTCTCTCTCTATATTGTATGTATGTGTATATGTACAGTATGTATAGCACACACAACAGTCCCAGACCCTGGTCCTCACAGTCCCAGACCCTGGTCCTGCTCTTGTCCTGTGCGGTCGCTTTCTCTCGCTGCTTTTTAATCGCCTTTAATCCTTTTTTATTTACTGAACCAGCACCCGGACGTCTTCTACCTTTTCGAGCCACTTTACCACGTCCAAGCACCTGTCACCTGGAGACTTGACTTAAACACGAAGGTCTAGAGATTTTTTGTTTATAGCAAAATCACACATTGTCTACGATAAAACACCGTTTTTAAGACAAACTCAGGCCTAGACCATTCTTAGTGGCCTGGTTAGTGAAGGAAGACGTCTAGGTCTTAGCATGTGTAAACTCTGGTCTGGGCCTGAGTTTGACTTAAAAACAGTGTTGTATCACCAGGTGCCACAGTGGGGCGGCTGTAAAGTGACAAACTCCGGTTATATTCTCACTTCAGACTTCTCTCAAAGGCCTAATGGACAATCTTCTGAGATTTCAATAGCTTCTCCTCCCCTTTTTGAAGAGTATTGTCCATTTTGTTTCTGAGATAAACTGAACTCAATACAAAGCTTTTGTTTGTGGAAATGCAGTAAATGAATAAAGATTATATATATTTCCGTCTCCTCAGTTGATCACAGGGGCCTGTCGGGACCTGCTCTGGAGCCTGTTACAGTGTGACCTCCATGCCCTGGAGAACTACATACAGCCACAACCATCCAAACACTTGGTAAACAACCTGTTCTGCTGGGACAAAGACCGGGTCCTGTGCCACACCCCCATCTGCAAGCCCACCCATGCCAATTGGACCGAGGGCGACTGTAAGCAGTGTAGCCCCGTCAACCTGACCAGGGCTGGCGAGTTCTGCAGCACCAGGAGCCACGTGGCCTACAAGACGGTTCACTCGGGGCGTGAGGGCAATGTAGAGAAATGATAAAAGGTTTTAACAATTATAACAAACAGATCACCAATTATATTTTGTTTAATATTAGATGGGCGACAGTAGCTCAGTTGGTAGAGCATTTGCCTTTGAGCCTGAAGGTCTTGGGTTCGAGCCCACCACGAGACTTTCTCCAGCGATTCCCACTGATGTCTGCTGTTGTTGTGTCCTTGGGCAAGACACTAAACCCCACTTTGCCTGAAACCATCGCTGAAAGATCTGTGAATTGGGTGCAGCTCTGACTGCCACCCCCTGACTCAGAAATGAATTAAGGGGAAGAAAATTGAAGAATGAATGATATTTGATGATTTACATTTTCGCACAAAGACAAAATTGTACTTTTCTCCTTTTGGGATTTTAAGAGTTGTTCCAGTCTAAGGACAATGGTGATGATCCAGGACACTTAACATTCATCAACATTCTTGGACATCTGCCCCTTATGGACCTATGGTTCTATGTGTTTTTATCATTGAATTACTTGTAGAGAAACACAGGGAAAACAATATTAAAAAACTCAGAACCATTGGTCCATAAGAGGCAGATGACCCAGTGTTCATAAGTGTTGCTCTTGACGAACAGCTCGATGTCATCCATGTGGAGGAGGAGACTGTTCTTTTCTCCGTTCCTGAGGCGGTATCTAGGGTTTCATATTTTTCCCAAAAATGAAATGTATCAAATCCCGGGAAAAGACAACGCATTTCCCGGGAAATAGCTGTTTTTGCAGTTGTTGTTTTTAGCCCAAGTAATGTATGACATCACTCAAATATGTATACTATTAAACATAAATCCATCAAAAGCTGCCATCTCCGCTACTGTTTCACCAAGCGACTTGCTAGCTTTGCTGAAGTAGCCATCCAGCGTTTCAGAAGTTTTGTTGATGGGCTTTCTTCAGGAATTTCACTATGCTGAGATTCTAACTGTCGCAATCCACTTGTCGACCAGTGACGTGTGTGAGTTTAGTGAGGACTGACTTCATATAAATCAACAGAACCTAAAAAGCGGCTTATTCACAATTAGTTTGGCTACAGCAGAATATGTTCCATGCCCCCCTTGTTTGCTCAAACAAAACGCAAAAGTTCGTAAAAAGCACATTTCCAAGTGTGTTAAGGCCCTTACCTTAGTTATTAATGAACTGCACAGGCCACTTCAGTTCAGACCAGTTCCGTGTTTAAGTCCAGATAATAGTTTGAGCGTAGATATGTAATCCTCCATTTGGAAATAAGTTCAATGAGTTTTAAAAAACGGGTGTCTAATCCATAAACTCCTGTGTTTTGCCGCAGCTGAATCTCGGGTGCATCCAATTTCTAATATCAACCTTCTTACTCTTCACTTCTCTTCCTTATCATTCATATCGTCATTGGAAGCATAACATTATTCTAAATGCATTTTCAATTATCTTAAAATGTGTTATCTGTATGTTAGCCAAACCTGTAACAGCCCTTCGCAGATGAAAAAAAGAAAGCTTTCTGATGGAATTGGTTGCATCCAAATTATGCGCTCACATGCGCCCTGTACCCTGAAGCTGAGTCACTTTGTGACATTACAAGCAGTGGTTAAGCGCGATTAAGACCCATAATTGTTTCAAAAACACAATTTATGACCCATCCTCTCAGCTGTAGACATGTAGCCTGGTCGTACCACACCATAGTACCAATGACATTTCGTACTAAGGTCTGGACGTGCTGCATTGAGCTCCGTTAACAGGTGGCAGGGGTTGTCCCCTCTTGCAGATTGAAACGATTGGATCTGAAATTACCGTGACGTATGTAATGCGCATTTAGCATTTAGCCTAGCTTTAGCCGTCTCCTTTGCTGCTAACGGAGCCCGTGGGGAGTAGCGCCACAATCTTTGCCAGTGATTACATTTGCTAAACATTTCTCTTGCTCCGGCTTCAGTTTCTTGATAGAACCAGACCGGATTACTTTACTATCGCATTTTTCGCCAAACTACAACCTGCCCGTTCAGCGCAAACTCTTGACGTCACCCACAACTAACTACAACACCCGCCTCCCGCGCTCTCTGATTGGTCGGTCAAAATTCAACCGATTGTAATCGCAAACACAGGGAACAGACCCAGACGTTACATGCAGTGAAATGATGATTGAACGGAGAGTACGGATGGATAAGGCCAGGGTGGTAGACATGTATATTGTAAAGAAAATATGTTTGAACTTTGTACAACAATATAATAGCACTAAAATAGGAGCGCACTGGATTTTTTTTTTTAAACTTTCACTTCCCGTTACCCGTGAACATTTCCAGAGAATCAAGAATTAGTTTTGATCAAATTTCCCGGGAATCGAGTTTCCCGGGATTAAACCCTACGGTATCCTAGAACAGCAGTGGGGACACAGCATCTCTTTGGTGTTTGCCACTTTTGACGGTTGCTTGTGCCATTGGCCTCAAGGGTGGTCCTTTTGCGGAAAATCCATACAACTTCAAGCATTCCACGATCCATTTCATTGAGTCGCAGGGATTCTGGTAATCATTTTCAACAAAAATGTATGTTTTTTTCTGAAACATTTGATCCTTAAAACACATTTATTGTTGCAGGTGCGACTGGTGGTGTTGGACACGGTGCGCCCCCTTCTGGAGGATCCTCGCCTCAACATTAAAGTGCTCCAGCTGGTGCGAGACCCTCGAGGGATTCTGAACTCCCGGATCGACCTCTTCTCCAGCTGGTACAAACCCTGGTACATCTGGAAAACCACACGCAAAAGTCCCTGAACATCCGCCCTCCACTGTTCAGTACCAACTGTCAGGAGTTGCTCTGTGTCCACCGCACTAAGCCAACCCGAGTGGCTCAGGGGAAGGTACTAATCCAAGTTTTAACCAGAGATAACCCAGCACTAAAACACGACTTTACCAGGGCTGGACTAGGACTGACATCAGGGGAGAGGAGAGTCTCATGACAGCAAAAAGTTAGTCAAGTGAAGCAGCATAGGGCCCATTCCCAAACCTCATTAAGACTGCAAACAAGTGTGTAGTTCATGGTGGGGTCTAAGTATGGATCTATGATATTAACTGGATAGGGTATTACTAGCTTATAGCTGAAGTGCCCAAGGGCTCCGGGGCTTCATGAGGTACTGCTGATTAAATAAGAGTAAATTCTCGTGGGCTAGCCAGACAAAAGTCCTATAAAACAGCTTGACCTCACCTGACAGTGAACCTACAGCTTTCATACATTTTTTTGGTTAAGTTAATGCCTCCTGTTGTCCTGAGCTTTCTTTTCTAGTAAAATCCATTTGTTTACATTAAATCCACACTTTAGTGCAACAAAATCCACACTTTAGTGCAACAAAATCCACACTTTAGTACAACAAAATCAGCAGCACCTGGTTGGTCAGAACGCTACCTTGCCTAACGTGTACTTGTTAGTCTTTGGCACAAAACATCTTTCTTCCCGAAAAATAAAATGTACAAAAAAATAAATGAATAAAAGTGTTTTTGCATATTAATCAATACAATAATTTTCAGAAGAAAGTACGCCATTAACAAGTCAATGCGGCACTTTTATATCTCTAGAATTCAGTCAAATACACATCTTGTTCTATACTTTTGTCCGACTGGCAGAAATCAGGACTGTATTTTCACCGGTTACAACACTCATTTTTCTCTCTCTTCCTTTAGGTACATGTTGCTGCGTTACGAAGACATAGCCATGAACCCGCTGCAGAAAACCAAGGAGATCTATGAGTTTGTAGGTCTGAAAATGACTCCCAGTGTGGCGAAATGGATCGATGAAAACACCAAATCCTCCACCGAGTCCAAAAACAAACTGGGCACCAAGCGGGACTCTGCCACCGTAACCGAGAGCTGGCGCCGGAAGCTGCCCCTCGACTTGGTGTTGGAGGCCCAGAAGCAGTGTCTCCACTACATGAGGCTTGTGGGATACCGGCCGATCCAGTCCCGAGAAGATCTACTCAACATGAACGTCTCCACGGTTGAAGAGAGACTATTTGAACCGTTTCTGTAGAAAGTTGGTTCCTGATTGGGTGTAATTAAATCCTTTGATTGACAGTTTAGCTCTCCACCCATTGGCAAATTATTCTCAAGCAAATGAGGCTTTTGGTCAAGTTGATTGACTGTTGTATTTATGTAATTGATTTGTATTTTTGTATAGTCAACACTGTCCCAAGACCCTCCTGCAGCGGCAATGAACAACTCTAAAAACCCAAAGAGAGAAAAGTGAGAAACCTGAGGGAGGCCTAGAGGGATCCGCTTTCACACAGAGACGAGCTGTAGATCCAGGACTGAGGCTGTAGACCCAGGACTGAGGCTGTAGACCCAGGACTGAGGCTGTAGACCCAGAACTGAGGCTGTAGATCAAGGACTGAGGCTGTAGATCCAGGACTGAGGCTGTAGATCCAGGACAGAGGCTGTAGATCCAGGACTGAGGCTGTAGATCCAGGACTGAGGCTGTAGATCAAGGACTGAGGTGGCTCCAAGGCGGGGGGGGGGACTGTGTATATTCACTTAGATACCTGTTTATTATAATACTGGGCCAGGAAGTCAAAAAGCAAAGTGGTCATTTATTTATTTTTTAATCAATTGTGTAATTTTAAAGTTTAAAGTGCCTGGGGTGATGTGGACTGTGAAGCGCTTTGTGTTGCCCTTTGTACTGTCGGTCAAAAATATGAATATGGAATATTTTTTACACTGGGAAGTAGATGAAGATGACATTTCCCCGATGAAGCCAGCGGGGAAATGTCAGTGTTGCATCAGCAGTTACAGAACAGAAGGAATGAATATCACACAGCAGGAGATAAATGAACAACAACTCTGTACTGATATAAAATAAAAACTTCCTGCTCTTGTACAGTGCGGTCTCATTCTCTCGCTCCTCCTCGCTTGCTGCTTTTTAATCTCCTTAAATCATTTGTATTTACATTTTTATTCTACAAAACACGAATTATTCAAAACATAGTGTCTAAAGCAGACCTGGAGATTCTTATCCATGCATTTGTCTCCAGTAGGTCAGACTACTGCAATGGCCTGCTCACAGGACTGTCCAAACAGGCTGTAAAACAGCTGCAGTACATTCAAAATGCAGCAGCTCGAGTCCTGACAAGAACCAGGAAGTACGACCATATTAGTCCTGACTAGAACCAGGAAGTACGACCATATTAGTCCTGACTAGAACCAGGAAGTACGACCACATTAGTCCTGACTAGAACCAGGAAGTACGCCCATATTAGTCCTGACTAGAACCAGGAAGTACGACCACATTAGTCCTGACTAGAACCAGGAAGTACGACCACATTAGTCCTGACTAGAACCAGGAAGTACGACCACATTAGTCCTGACCAGAACCAGGAAGTACGACCACATTAGTCCTGACCAGAACCAGGAAGTACGACCGCATTAGTCCTGACTAGAACCAGGAAGTACGACCACATTAGTCCTGACTAGAACCAGGAAGTACGACCACATTAGTCCTGACCAGAACCAGGAAGTACGACCACATTAGTCCTGACTAGAACCAGGAAGTACGACCACATTAGTCCTGACTAGAACCAGGAAGTACGACCACATTAGTCCGGTCCTCAGGTCTCTGCACTGGCTTCCTGTGGCTCAGAGAATAGACTTTAAAACAGCTCTGCTTGTTACAAGTCTCTCCATGGCCTCGCACCAAAATATATTAGTGACATGTTAGTCCCATTTGAACCAGCCCGGACTCTGAGGAGCACAGGGACTGGACTCCTGCTGGGACTCTGAGGAGCACAGGGACTGGACTCCTGCTGGGACTCTGAGGAGCACAGGGACTGGCCTCCTGCTGGGACTCTGAGGAGCACAGGGACTGGACTCCTGCTGGGACTCTGAGGAGCACAGGGACTGGACTCCTGTTAGTGCCCAGAGTCAGAACTAAACATGGGGAGGCTGCTTTTCAGATTCATGCTGCTAAAATCTGGAACAGTCTTCCTGAAGATGTGAGACAGGCCTCCTCTCTGACAATGTTTAAAACCAGGTTAAAGACAGTTCTGTTCAGCTGTGCTACAACTGAGGGATTTTATATTTGTATCTTTCTTTTTAATGCACTGTGATTATTTATGATTCCATACAAAAACACTTGCCTTGCATAACAAAGAAGCAAGTAGAACATCTATCTCAGTGCAATCACATTCAGAAGTGAAGCCCCGCCCCTCTGACGGTATTGAAGGCCCCATTCACGTTACAGTTTCATCGCTCATCAAGTTATTTATTTAGCTTAATCTCCCTTAATCTCAGGGCAGTGCCGATTCTCAAAGGTTCCAGGACATTCCAATGAATCATCACATTAATAACAAATAACACAACTTTACAAGAAACGCATTAGATGGACTTGGGCATGGTTTAAACAACAGATTCTGTGTTTCTACATCTAGTAGTAGTGTTTATTTCGAATTACATGCGCAATACAAAACAAAACAAAAGGAAGAAACATATATATGCACAATTCGAAAAGGAGTAGGTAGAAGTGAAACTTATGCTTCCTACCCCTTGTTACAAACTTTTCTCTTTACAGGAGTTCAAATGATATACAGGCATATTTCTCTCAGATATACAATTTACACTCGTCTCCATGAATAGTAATTTTAAATGCTGATTTCGCACCAATGATGTTCTTAGGTCTTGTTGTCACTTGTCACTTGTTGCCATTTTTACCCAAAGCTGTTTATTTAATGTTAACATGGTTATGTATGTAGACCCTACATAGTGCAGTGCATTAAAAACAGTGGGTAGAATGAGCCAGTCGAGAGAAGGTAATAGCCCCCACTCAACCCGCCCCACTCCCAACCTCCCTGACCAATGGAAATGTAGGAAAATTTGCGTTGTATATTCTTGCTGTGTGGTGCGTTAAAAACGAGGTGTTGAGGCCGCTTGGCAAAAGGGAGCCCGCCAATCCAACCATATCTCGTCTGCTCTGATTTACTTGCATCTGTTTAAGCAGTAATGGCAATCACAACATGACAACTTGTTTTCCTGCACTATAGATCTTGGTCATGTGCTATTCATGGTTAAGAGTTGTCCATTGCATCTAAAAGATTTAACTGCTCCAAATGATTTTTACACATCCCTTTTACAGTTTAAACAAATTACATTATTTACACATATGTTACATAATACATACCTTAATACTTTACCTTACACTTTATGTATCACACCTTACTTTCCATTTCTTCAAAAACAAACCATCAATTTAAATCCAGATTGTATTCTCATGTAACACTCTCATATGTCCTGAATATAGTAGTTTTGATTTGTTTCTTAAAAACTATTATGTTTTTTGACTCTTTAATGTCTTTGTTAAGTGCGTTCCACAAGTTGATTCCTTTCACTGAGACTGTTCTTTCCATGACTTTTGTTCTGAATCTAGGTTTTTTAAAGATATCAGTTCCTTTCAGATTGTACTGACTTTGTCTTTTTTCAAAGTTCTCTTGAATGTTTGCGGGTAATGATTTGCAATTTGCTTTATACAATATCTGAAAAATATTATAATCCACTATATCATACAATTTTAACACCTTACACTCTAAAAAAACAGGATTTGATGAGTCTCGATATCTTTTGTTGTTCACTATTTTTAGGGCTCGTTTTTGTAAAATAAATATTGGCTGTGTATATGTTTTAAAAGTTGTCCCCCAAATTTCGACACAATAGGTTAGATATGGTATAATCATTGTATTATATAAGGTAATTAATGCTGTGTGGGTAAGAAAGTATTTCACTTTATGTAACACACCAATTGATTTGGCTAATTTTCCTTTTGTATAGTGTATGTGAGATTTCCAGTTTAGGTCCTCGTCAATGATGACTCCCAAAAATGTTGTTTCCTTTACCCTTTGGATTTCCAGGCCGTCTATTGTTATGGATATACTATTTCCAAGATTTTTCTTTTTATCATTGAATATCATGTAATTGGTTTTTTTTATGTTTAGCGCCAATTTATTTTGATCTAGCCAGCTTTTTATTTTTGCAAGTTCTTTGTTTATTACTATTTCTAACTCTCCTATATTATTTCCAGAGTAAAATAATGTAGTGTCATCAGCGAATAAGATGCTTTGTAATACAGTTGATGCTTTTGGAAAATCATTCATGTATAATATAAACAAAATTGGTCCTAGTATTGAGCCTTGCGGCACCCCCCAACTGATATCGCATGGTTCTGAATACGTACTGTTTATTTGGACAAACTGTTTGCGATTTTCAAGATAACTGGAGATCCATTTTTGAGCAATGCCTCTGATTCCATACTTCTGGAGTTTCCATAGTAATCTGGGGTGGTTAATTACATCAAAAGCCTTTTGCAGGTCTAAAAAGATACTTACTATATAATTTTTTTGATCTATTTCTCTTGCTATTTTCTCCGTCAGTTCCATTATTGCCATTGCAGTTGAGTGTTTTTTTCTAAAGCCATATTGATTTTTAATTAATATATTTTCTTTTTGTAAAAAGCTATCCAGCCTTATTGCAAATACTTTTTCCAAGATTTTTGAAAACTGTGGCAGCAAGGACACTGGTCTATAATTTGAAAAGTGGGGCTTGTCCCTGTTTTTGTAAAGAGGTATTATTTTGGCTGTTTTCATACCATCAGGAAAGGTTCCTGTTTTTAGTGACAAGTTGCAAATGTGTGTAAAAGGCTCAATTACAGATTCAAAAATGATTTTAACAATCATCATGTCTAAACCATCATAGTCGGTTGATCTTTTGTTTTCACATTCATTTACAATTTTTCGTACTTCGTCTTGTTCTACATTGGAAAGAAAAATACTGTTCACATGATCTACTATTGTGTTTTCAGTGCTAGAGGTTGGCTTTGGAATTTGTTTTGCTATCGAGTCTCCTATACTAGTAAAGTATTTACAAAAATCATTTGATATGTTTATTTCGTTGGATATTTCAAGACTGTCCTTTACAAAATAATTTGGGTACACATGTTTAATTTTGTTGTTTTTCATTACATTATTTAATATTCTCCAAGTAGCTTGTGTGTTA